TCCTGGGACCCACATAATGGAAGGAGAGAACTGCCTCCTGAATGTTGCCTTCTTACCACACCTGCAGCCGTGGCACAAGCACACACACACACACACACACACACACACACACACACATGCGCACACACTAAATAAACATAAATGGGATTCCCTCAAACTAAGCAACATACAAGGGACATAATGAACAAGGTGAAGAAACAGCCCATGTATTAAGAGAGGGTATTTGAATACCTACATCTGATAAAGTGGATAAGGAAATCAACTCAACAGCAAGGCAACGAATGACCCAACTCAATATAGGCACATTTTGAACAGACATTTCCTGAAAGAAGGAGTACAGATAACTAACAGAAACACGAAAACATCAACACCACATAAAAATGCAAATTACAGTAGCGTTCCTCACACCTGCTGGGAATGATATCAGAAAGAGGGGTGGCTACATGACATCAGGTGGAGACAGTGTGAGGAGGGAACTGTCCGTGTGAGTGCAAATCAGTGTAGCCATGAGGGGAGACAGCATGGAGGGTCCACGGAATATTTTTTTTAAAAGAACCACCCTATGTATGAAATTATTTTTTTTAACATTTTACTTATTCTTTATTTTGGTCATATTCATCCTTGACTCCTCTCACTATGATTCCTACCAGAGCCACCCCCTGACCCACCCTACCTCCCCTCCCAACTTCATCTTGCCTATATATATTTTTAAGAACTCACTGATGCCACTTAGCACTGCCCATATATGCAAATGTGCATGGGTGCATGGCCATCCATGGGCACATGGTCAATGTACCACGGGCTACACCATCAAGGAAAACTGACTCTCCTTCCCACGGTACTGTCAGTAGTTCCCCATCTAGGGGCTGGGGCTCTTGACACCCTCTCCCTTACATGCTGTTATGTTGACTGGCTTGATCTTGTGCAGGTCTTGTACAGGCAGCCACAGCCGCTGTGAGTTCATGAGTGCTGTGTTCCTGTCATGTCCAGAGGATGCTGTTTTGTTCTGGTCCTCCCCAACCTGTGGCTCTTATAATCATTCTGCCCCCTCTGCTACGATGATCCCTGGGCCTTGGGGGTGGGGTATGATATAGACTTCTCATTTGTGGCTGAGTGCCCCACTAACACTTTCTGCACTTTGACCAGTTGTGAGTTTCTGCATAACCACCATCCACTGCACCGAGAAGTTTCTCTGATGAGATCTGAGGGCTTCAGATAGTTGGATTTTTGGTTTTGCTTTTAGTTTGGATGGTGCATTCATAATGGCTATGGATAAATGTTGCTCAGAGGTGCATATGTTGAAGGCTTGGTCACAGGCCTGTGCCGCCATCAGAGTCAGGGTTAACGGAAGGTTGGATTATTGGAGGTGATTGTTTAAGAGGATATTGAGACCCTCACCTCTGCCTGCCCTCTCCTCTCTCTTTCCCTCACTCCCTCCCTCTCTTCCCACAGCCTCCATGCATTTCCACCATGGTGAGCCATCCTGCCACAAGACCTAAAGGAATGGGTCCAAGCAACCATGCTATAAGCCAAAGTAAGCCTTTCCTCTTTTTAAGTTGTTTCCAGTATTCGTTTTAGTGACAGAAAGTTAACCCAATGGTTACATTGTTCTTCATGCTTTTAACATTAAAACCTAAGCTCCTGGGGCTGGCGAGATGGCTCCTCAGTTAAGAGCACTAGATGCTTTTGCAGAGGACCCAGGTTCAGTTCCCATCACCCACATGGTGGCTAACAACCACCCATAACTCCAGTTCCAGGGGATTCAGAGCTCACTTCTGTCCTCCATGGGCATTGCATGACATGGGTGCATTTATGTAAATGTATGTACATGCAGGCAATATACTCACTACACATAAAATTTTTAAAAAATTTTAAAAACCTAAGTTCCTAAGAACAACATGAGTATAAACAGCAAGCACATCATCCTGTTAAACAATTTCAGCACTTTAGGAGATCACTAACAAAGCATAATCAAGTAGCACTCACCCAGTTAGGAAGATTGTTTGGCACAGCACACCATAGGTAAAAAGGTATGAGCCCTGCTATATCTGCTCTGTTTTTAATTAGATACCTTGCTGTGTCTACAGAGGTAACCACTCTACTGGATTGGAGTTGGTCACCCTCTCCCCCCTCATCTCTTTGTCCACAGACCACATGCATCTGCATCTGACCCCACGAAGTATGGCCTTTAACCGAATGGTTTTTGAGCCGTACAAATTGGCTTGTGCTCTCTACATTTCGTCTCTCTTCTTTCTACGTTTTGAAGTTCATCCTAGGAAGCAGCTGTTCTGATCTCAGTTCAGTCATGAACTGGCTGTGTGTCCTTGGCCAAGTCATTGAACACCTTGGTCTCGCCCACACCTCTCACTAAGTGGCAACGGCAGCACCAAACCCCAGTGACTGCTCAGCAGGGCCCGAGTTCCCTGTCTGCCGCACGCAGAACTGCGCCTGGCGTATCCTGCACTGTGCATGGAGGGGTCTGTTTCATTTAGAGCTCAGGAAACGGAACCTCAGAAAGGTGGTGTTGCTGGTCTCCATCATGAAACCAGTGATGAGCAGAGCCTCAAGGGTGAGGCAGGAAATGAGCCTTGTCATCTTTACCCTGGTGTCTCCCAGAATTCATAGCTCAGATGTCCTTGAGTCTAGTTAGTGCCACCCATATGTTCATCGGTGTGGGGCCATCCACAGGTTGTAAGTAACCTACCAGTGGCCAAGTCCCCAAAGGAGACTTGAGTCCCTCAGCCACCATCAACTACCAATAGCCCCTTCCATAGAGGTGGGGCCTTGGGGGCCGCCTTCCCCACCTGAGCTGCAATTTTGACTGGCTTAACCTTGTGCAGATCACCACAGCTGCTGTGAATTGGTGTGTACAACAGCCACATCTTGCCCAGAAGTCAGCTTTCCACAGTCTCCTCCCCAGCTCTCAGCTCTTCCATTCTTTCTGCCCCCTCTTCCACCATGCTCTGAGCCTCAGAGGGTGGGAAGTGGATATAAAACGACCATCCACAGCTGAGCATTCGGTGTGATTTATTCTCAGCACTTTGCCCAGTTATGAGTTTCTGCATTAACCACTACCTGCTGCAAAAAGAAACTTCCCAGACCAAACCTGAGAGCAGCACGAATCTGTGGCCATAAATATGAACATTTAGAATGATTAGAATGCAGTTTGATACCACAACCATTAGCAAAACAACAGTAGGTTCTCGCCTAGGGCCTATGATCTCCACAGTCGTGTGCGGGCTTTTGACAGATTTACAGTCATGATCCCTCCAGTGAGTCAGGCCTCAGATTCAATCACAAAGAAGCTGATTACCCCCATAATCCTTGTGCCACTGTCGCACCAGTGGGCACAGCACGTAGGGTCCAGCACTGGGCAAGACCACTGATGCTTTTCTCCCCCAGCAGGATTTTTTTTTCACTTTTCTGTTGCTGTGATAGAAACACTGACCAAAGCAATTTATAGAAAGAAGGGTTTATTTGAGCTTATGGTTCCAGGGGAGTTACAGTCCATTGTGAGGCATGGTGGCAGAGGTGGCTGGAGCAGGAGCAGAAGCTGAGCTCTCACATCATCACGCAGGCACAGGAAGCAAGAGAGCAACTGGAGATCCAGCAAGGCTTCTTAAGAACTCTCTAAGCCTGCCCCCAGTGACGTGCTTCCTCCAGGATAGCCACACCTTCTAAGACCTCCCAAAACAGTGACACCATCTGGGGACAAAATGTCCAAATACTTGGAGCCTATGGGGGACATTTTCATTCAAACCATCACAACACCTTACAGCACTGTGTAAGCTAGCCAGTAGGAGAATGTTTCCTGGTCAGTTTGAGATGGACTTCTCTATGTACTGCATCCAAATTGAGTGGCATCTTAAGCAACAGAGTCTTACCATCTAGTTATGGTAAGCTACCAAAAGCAATAGCATCTCTGCTCTTTTGGGTGCCCCTGGGGCCTCCCTGACCAACAGCTCCTAGGGAGGGAATCCTTGCCTCACACTGAGATTTCCCTTTAATAAGGAACTTCTTATTAAAGAAGTCTTCTGTGAGCAACATTGTTCACGCATGCAGGGTACTTCTCTTCAAACTTCATATTTGTGTATATTATATATTTTTTAATTAGCTTACAAACTAGTGCGTTTCCATACGGTGTCTTCCTGTATCCTTAATTTTATCTGACCCACCTCCTAACCTCTCATCTCCCAAATGCCCTGGCTCCACTTAAACCTCTAACCCATATTTTCCCCTCTCCTTTCATATAGTTGCAAAAAGAATCTTTTAACAAGAATTTTTAAAGTTAGGAGAACAGCTGATCTTTGGTCATATAGGAAATATAAAATAAATCTTGGTGAAAGAAACAAATTCTACGAAGAAAAGAAAGATCGTTCATGGAAAGGGGAACGATCGTAGGAGTGACTTCTAGGTAGAAGAGCCAGGCAGGGGCTTGGTCAGTGGAGGGAGTGCTCACCACCCGAGTATAGGAACCTGAGTTCAATGGCGTGGTGGCATGTGCATGTGACCCCAGTGCTGGGGAGTGAAGACACAAGAGTCCGTGGGGTTTACTGACTGGCCAGCCTGGCTTACTTGTGATAAATCCCATCTTGGAGAAGAAGAAAAAAATAAAAAACGGTGGGCACCCCTGAGGTTGACCCCTGGCTTGTGGGGGGCGGAGGAGAGAAATTAGCTTGCATCACTTAACTTAGGTTTTCAAGATAGCAGCTGCTGCTGACTGGCTCAATAAAGCACAGCCACCTCAAGAGTTGAAGTGGCCCTAAACGCTGGGCTGGCTCTGCACTCTGGAGACCTGCACTCTGGAGTGTCCAGATCCACCGTCTCTGCTGAGGGCTTGGACAGCCCCACCTGACACATTCAACTCAGGGTGGACGACTGGCACGTCCAGAGCAGAGCGGAGCCCAACCAGGAAGGGGCTTCCTCCCAGGCAGGGAAAACAGCGTCCTCCTGGGGTCCATCCCTGCTCTGACTCCCTTGTTTGTCCCTTGTCCCCTCAGGTAATTGAGGACATCCTTACCAGCCAAGAGGAGGGAGAAAAAGACAAAAAGAAGAAAGAGGGAAAGGAGAGTAAACCCAAGAAGGTCAAAAAAGAGAAGGGAAAGAGAGGAGGGAAAAGCAGGAGAGCTGAGGTAAGTAAGGCCTTTGGAGTCCCACTCTGACCCTTTCTCTCCGCGGTGCCCATGTTGGGCATTCGCGTCTGCTGAGGTCACACGTGCTCCAGGTTCTCCTTTGTCGACTATCATCCAGTCCCAATCTTTGCTATGACTTATGAGTAGCTGTCGGGGTAAAGGGAGGTCTGGACAACTCAGTCACTTTACACAGCTTTGAATATTTATTCTTCAAATTAATTCTCCTGCTTCCCTTTCTTCGAGGGAAACTGCTTGGTAAAACGAGGGACCACTGGAGAGTCAAAATACCCCGTCTAATCTAGTCCACGCGTTCATTCGAGTCTGTCATAAGTACCGACACGGTGGGTATTCTTTACCAGCGCCTTAGGAGACCGTGAATAAAAAGCGGTCACTTAGTGTTGAGTCCAGGAAGGTACTTAGGCACAATGTGTGTTGTTCCTTATTTTATTTACCTAGTCCCCATTTTATTTAACACAGACTGTTCTAGTTCCCTTTCTGTTATTGTGATAAAAATGTCCTGACAAAAAGTCACTTGGGGGAGAAAAGGTGTATTTTAGCTCACAGTTTCGGGTCGCAGTTGGTTGCTGTGGGTGAGTCACGGCAGCAGCAGCTGGTCGCATCCACAGCCAGGAGCAGACAGGAACGAATGCATGGTGCTTGCTTGTGCTCAGCGCGGTTTCTCCACTCGTAACAGGTCCCCCTGCCCAGGGAAGGGTGCAGCACGTCAGTTAACGTAATTAAGACCATCCCCCACAGACGTGCCCACAGACCAGCCCAGTGGAGATGACCCCTCACTGACACTCTCTTCCCAGTGAGTCTAAGTCGTGCATATTGACAATTAAAACCAACCACACATACCCTACTCTGTCTTCAGAGGTGACCACTCACTATCTAAAGGAAACAGGAGTTGGCATTTTGCCACTTGAAGTCAGTCTGCCCTAGCGTGGTGGGGTTGGAAGCGGAGATGGGATGGCTAACCAGCCAGTGTTATCTTTGGGCAGTAATTGAAGTCTGTCCTCTAGCATGTAGGAGAGGCATCTTCCAGCACTGTGTGTGCTATCAGTAGAAACCGCCCTGTGGGAAGTGGGCCCTTGGGTGGAAGATGTCGCTGCTAAAATACGGCAGGTCTTACAGTACAGCTGACTGCCCCTTTTGTCCTCGTTCCTTTCTTGGACCATCCCCTATCACTGTTCACTGAATGAACAGGAGAGGCATACCAGGCTGCTTGTGGGCCTGTGGAAACCACTGGAATGCACACTGCAGGCAGCTGCTTGGGTGCCACCTTCAAGACTCAGGTGATTAGTCCCCTGGGCACCCAGGAGATCAGTCCCTTGGGCACCCAGAATGTCAGTGCTGGCAGCCACAGCTAGGTTCCCATCTGAGAGACTGCCTCCAAGCAAGGTCACGCCCCCTCCCCAGCAGCCTATGTCTGAGGGTGCCAGAGCCCAAACCCAGCCCCTGCACCTGCCTCCTAGCTGGCTCTGAAGCGCTCTCCCAGCTCCTGTCTCCCTAACAACTGCATTAGCAGTACCCAGCTTCTCCCTTCGCACAGGATTCTCCATCCTCCCTCACACAGGGCTAATGGGTCCCTTGGGCCACCTGCCCATCTTGCTGAGTGTTTCCAGGGAGCTCAACCCAGGAGACACTTTCTAGCCTGCCCTGCCTGGACCAAAGACTTTTGACTTGGTGGGTACAGTTCACTGGATATGGCCGATTTTTAAAAAATCACCTCCCTCTGAGATAATTGTAAAGCACCTACAAATAAGAATTTGAAGGATTTCAAATTTTATCATAAGCATCTCTTTGATATGCATGAGGGAGTTTTACACTTGCAAATTAAAAATTCACTGTGCGTGGAACTCGTTCCACTTAAATCTGAAATTATCAGCTGTGCGATCTGGTCATGGTCCAGTGGAGATATTTTATTAGCTGGTTAGTGAACAGTCCCTTGATGACAGACAATTTGGGGCAAAAAGCAAAATTTAAGAACATCACTATTTGTGAAATTTATGGAGCATTTGCAAACAAAAGGGGAAGTCCTACAGAACTAAGCATTAATTTGTGTATCAAAAGTTCAAGTCTATAAAGTAACAATGTGACTATTAAAAGAAGAAAGAGCTCAGAGCATAGTGGCTCATTCCTGTCATCCCAGCACTGGGGAGACTGGGGCAAGGGACCATGCGTTTGAGGCCAGCCTGGGCTACATAGTAGGACCCTGTCTCAAAAATTAAAGACTTATTCATATCACATTGCTATGTTGTTTCTATTTTTTGGACAGAAGATTATCTTTACAATTCAGTTTTAAAATCTTATTCTAGACTCATCCCTGAGTCCAGCTCTTTGAAAATCAGCTGTGAGCTGCCTGGTGTAGGTGCTGGGAACTGAACTCAGATCTTTTGTAAAAACACTATATGTTCTTAACTGCTAACCCATCTCACCAGCCTCTGTCTCTCTCTCCCTCCTGCCCTCCCTCTCTCCCTCTCTCCCCAAAAGATGGGAGCTCTTGGCAACTGGTTCTTTGTGGCTTAAGTACTGAGGCATCTGATTGGGGCCAGAGAGACATGCCCGGCAGTCTGGTGGGTAACAGTCTCTATTCAACATTGCCAAAGCAGACACAGCACAGTCGTCTTGGCCCGAACCCCCCCCAACCCTGATCTAGCCTTTAAGGATTGTTCCACTCTGAATGTTCTAGTAAAGTATCACATGGAAAAAATAAGCAATAGCCGCTGGCATGTTGATATGTAAGAAGAAAAAAAAAGTGTTATTCGTCCCGGTTAGAGGGCCAGACAGGGAGAGGACAGGAATTCCATTAGACCTGTGTGATCTCTGCTTTGCCTACCATGACCCTCACTCAGGGGGTAACTTATCACCTATTACTTGCCAATTGTCAGAAACCTTCTAAAGACTTCATATTAAAAAATGATAGGTTGGGCTAGAGAGATGACTCAGCAGCTGAAAGCCCTAGCTGCTCTTCCAGAGGACTGGAGTTCAGCTCCCAGCACCCACACCAAGCAGCTCACGATACCTGTCACTCCAGTTCCAGTGGACCTGATGACCTCTTCTGACCTCTGCACGCACCCACAAACGACATACATTCACCCAGATACTCACACACACACACACACACACGCACACACACACGCACACACACACGCACACGCACACACACGCACTCACGCACACACGCGCGCGCACACACAATTATGAATTACCTTTTCAACTAACTTCTTTCAGTAAACAGTAGACTCAAAAGTATCACACAGGGATTGGGCGTGGTGGCACACTCCTTTAATCCCAGCACTCAAGAGGCAAAGGCAGGCAGATCTCTGAGTTCAAGGCCAACCTGGGAGTTCCAGGCCAGTAATGGGGGCCTGTGTCAAAACACACAAACACACACACAAACATGCATGTATTTCTCAAAGTGTCACATAGTGTGCTGGATAGCTTTAGTGCCAACTTGACACATCTGGGTTGAGGGAGCTTCAACTGGGGAATTTCCTCTATTGGACTGGCCTGTGCCCCACTGTGGTTTGTGCCACCCCTGGGCAGGTGGTCCTGTGTTACATAAGAAAGCAGGCTGAGCAGAGGCCAGGGGAGAAAGCCAGTAAGCAGCGTTCCTCCATGGCCTGTGCTCCAGCTCCTGCCTCCAGGTTCCTGCCCTGAGTTCCCTTGGGCTCCCTGATGAACTGTGAAACTGGGAGATGTAAGCTGAATAAAGCCTTTCCTCCCCAAGTTAGCAGTGGTCAGAGTGTTTTGTCACAGCAATGAAGAAACAAACTAGGACACATGGGTAGGAAGCTGGGCATAGTGTACGTATCCACAAATATTGCTAACTATGAAGAAGATGCCACATGGGTGCAAAATTCTGATCTCAGAGCTGCTGGAGTTCCCGCCCACTTTAGCTGTGACTCAGTATCTGGAGTTCCAATTTATGCAGGGTCCACAGGTTGAAGAAAGGGTGAAGTTAGCATCTTTGGATTCCTGTGGTTTTGCATAGGACCATCATCTTGCAAGAGGGGCTATAACGATATTAAGAGCCAGAGGCAGCAAGTTCCAGATCCTGTCTGGAAGTGAGAGACTCTCAAACAAAGTGATGTTCCTGAAAAGCCTGAAGTTGACTTTTGTCCACACATATGTGCACATACATGTACCTGACTATGCACACACAGGTGCACACATACACAGACACATACAAAAAAATTTGTTTTTCATTCATAGTTTTAAAAAGATATTTCTTCCTTGCTGGGTATGGTGGCGCACGCCTTTAATCCCAGCACTCGGGCGGGAGGCAGAGGCAGGTGGATCTCTGTGAGTTCAAGGCCAGCCTGGTCCTGTTGTCAGATTCAATCTTCTCTAAAAGCTCCATGAAGGAATCAAAAAGACCAAAAAAGAAAGAAAGAAAGAAAGAAAGAAAGAAAGAAAGAAAGAAAGAAAGAAAGAGAAAAAGGTATTTCTTCCTAAGCTGCACACTTTATTTCTTAGTATTTTATTTTTATTTTATATGTATCAGTGTATTGCCAGCATGTATGTAAGTGCACCTGTGTCATGCAATGCCCAAGGAGGTCAGAAGAGGGCGTCAGATCCCCCTGGAACTAGAGAATTTGTTACAGACAGTTGTTAGCCACCACGTACGTGGGTGCTGGGATCCAAACCTGGGGTTTCTTCAAGGGCAGCCAGTGTTCTTAACCACGGAGCCATCTCTCCAGCCCCTAAACAGCACACTTTATACAAATGTTAACTCAAAATGGATTGAGGATTTGAAACATGAAAAATGAAATCTTGAGATTAAGAACATAGGGGAAACCTTCATGGTTAGGGTCTAAGAAAAGAACTTTTGAGACTTACCATCAGAAGTCTCAAGATGGCTCATTAAAGCACTTACCAAGCAAGAAGGCAGGAATTAGGATCCCAAGAAACCACATACATGCTGGGTGGGCATGGTGGCCCACCTGTAAGTCCAGCCTCAGAAGGTAGAGATGGGATCCCCAGAGCAAGCTAGCTAGCGACACCAGTCCTATCAGTGAGGTCTGGATAGTGATAGGACCAGTCCTATCGGTGAGCTCTGGATAGTGATAGGACCAGTCCAATCGGTGAGCTCTGGATAGTGATAGGACCAATCCAATCGGTGAGCTCTGGATAGTGTTAGGACCAGTCCAATCGGTGAGCTCTGGATAGTGATAGGACCAATCCAATTGGTGAGCTCTGGATAGTGTTAGGACCAGTCCAATTGGTGAGCTCTGGATAGTGATAGGACCAGTCCTGTCGGTGAGGTCTGACTGAGAGACCCTGCCTTCTTGAAAAAGATGGGAGAGCAGTGAAGGATGATGTCTACAATCAACCTCAGGCCTTCACATGAACACGCACACACACTTGTGCCAGCATACATGCAAGCATGCGTACATATATGTAGACGCACCACACAGGGAAAAGGTGGGGCGTAGGATCCCATCTAAAAGTGACAAGTTGGACTCCATCAAATTCACCCCCTCTCACCTCCTGAACAGAACAGAAATGACAAGCTGTCGCTGTGAGCCTGGCTAAAGTTCCTCCACGGGGGACATGCTAAAGTCAGAAGGACATTGTCTGCCAGCGCAAGCGGCAGCCTCCAGTAGCAGAGTAATCGCATTCGTCTCGCTGACACTCGCTGGCCCTCATGTTGGCCTCAGAGCCAGCAACAACAGAAATGGAACACAAATCAACCCGTCCTACAGCTGTTCACTCTGCGAATTTCCAAACAAGCCCTGTGGTAAAGCACCATGAGCTGTTGTAAGTGATTTTGACTGGAACATAACACTTGGCCACATGGATGCTTGGTTTCTCTAAATTCATTCCAGCCATGCATGGCTCGACCAGGGCTTGGTGCTTCTGGGAAGAAGCCTGGGCCCCGCACTGCATAGTTAGCTTTAACAGCTCTTGTCTGGTGTCACCCGGCTGTGACTGATCACCGGGCCTCCTCTCCAATCCTTTGGTCCAAGAAGGAGTTCCATATTGAACAACTGGGCCAATCACATCTTTACATATGTTAGAAAATATCACATCATCAATATGGAGGTAGTGGGGGGTGATAAGACATCAGGGACACTGAGGAGAGGGATAAGTCAGAACAAGAAGCCCAGGGACCAGAGTTCAGTCCTCAGAACCCACTAAGAGAAGCCAGTGTGGAGGAGGCAGTGGCAGGCAGATCCCTGGGGCTCACTGGCCAGACAGCCTAGCCTTCCTGGTGAGTTCTAGGCTACTGAGAGACTCTGTATCAAAAACACTATGTGGCCAGGCATGGTGGAGCATGCTTTAATCCCAGCACTCAGGAGGCAGAGGCAGGCGGATCTCTGTGAGTTCAAGGCCGGCCTGGTCTACGTAGTAAGTTCCAGGACAGCTAGGGCTACAGGGAGACCCTGTCTCAAAATGACCAAAAATCGTCTACGTAGTAAGTTCCAGGCCAGCTAGGGCTACAGGGAGACCTCTCAAAATGACCAAAAAAAAAAACCACTAGGTGGACTGTCCCCTGAAGAATGACCAAGGTTGTCCTCTGGCCTCCACACACATGCACGTGACCCACATGTGTGCATACATGAGCATGCACACACAAACATGCACATACAACACAATATATTAGCAGGAAAGAGCTTACCACTGTGGATACAAACATATCTAGCATCTTTATGTCCACTGGGATGCAGAGAGAGAGAGGACTGTGTAAAGAAAAAAGCTGGCGGCTGGAGAGGTGGCTCAGCAGTTAAGAGCACTGGCTGCTCTGGCAAAGGACCTGGGTTCAAATCCCAGCACCTACATAGTGGCTAACCACTGTTCTAACTCCAGTTCCAGAGCGCCCAACACCCTCTTCTGACCTCTGTGGGCATTCCATGACACAGGTGCACTTACATACATGCAGGCAATGCACTCATACATATAAAATAAACAATTTTAAAAGAAAAGGAAGCTGAGTCTCCAAGCCGCAGAGCACATGGGTCCTAACCGGAGGGCAGACCCCCTGGACAGATGCCGTGAAATTGTAAACATATACGTGGGAGAGCCTTCCTGGGAAAATACCTGTGGGCAAGGGGTCCTTTCCCCTAAAAGTTCAGAAGTCGCTGCCTAAAGAAAGGGTACATGTGGTCGAACGGCAGAGGAGCCACAGGAAGGACCATAGATGAAGAGGAAGAAGAGACCAGCAGCCACTGAGGTGGCCAAGACTGCTCACAGGACATGGCCCGTCAGTGGGGAGACTCTCGGGAGTCTGTGTGCGTGACCCAGACCTGCCTTCATCACCACGACCGCCACCCAACCACAGAACACAGCTGCCTCTCAAGGAGCAGCCAAAGTCCTTGCTGCTGCCCTGTACAGACCAGTCTGTCTCCCAGCTCTGTCCCCTGCAGCAACCCTGCGGACCTTAAGCTCTGATCAGCATCCCCGGAGGCTCTTGGAACACAGAGTAGTGCACTGATTTCTTTAAGAGGAGCATGTAGGCCCAGATGAAGACCAGCCCCGGGGAAAGCAGCGTACACAAAACACGGAGCGTGGCGTGAAGGACTGGCCTGGCCGTCGCTGGGGGAGCCGGGGACAGTGAGGTAGACTCCAAGTGTCTGGAGTGGGACAGTAGGAGGAAAGCCAGTCCGGCAGGAACTGGCTTCACAGCTGTTCACTCAAGCCGCTGCCTCTGTCAAACTCCGCTGAAGCTCAGGGCAAACAGATGACATAGAGGGTGTTGGTCCAGGACAGACCCATGTGCAGGACACTCTCGCTGAGGCAAATGGACAAGCTGTGGAGAAGCCAAGGGGGTGAACACTGGAGAGTGACGGTTACATCCACAAACAGTGTCTGACCCAACAGCTGGGCACCTTGTGGTCAGTTAAGTTGAAAAATGAAACTTTCTTTCATGGTTTACGTTAACGAAAGGGAAAAATAGGACTGAGGAGATGGCCCAGCACCTGTTGCTGCATCATGAGGACCAGGGTTCAGCTCTCAGCAACCATGTACATGTGTAACGACATCTCTGAGGGATCCAACGCCCTCTTTGGCCTCCATTTGCACACAGGTACATATACTCGAACACACACATACACATACACTCACATACATACACACATTAATTAGCTAGAAAAATAATTTAAATATTTGTTAATTTTACGTATATGAATATATTTATTTTACATATATGAATATATTGCCTGCAAGTACAAAACTGCACCCGTGTCGTGCAAGCCCACAGAGGTCAGAAGAGGGCGTCAGATTCCCCTGGAACTGGAGTCACAGACAGTTGTCAGCTGTCATGTGGGAGCTGGAAATCAAACCCAGGTCCTCTGCAAGAGCAGTCGATGCTCTTAACTGCTGAGCCCTCTCTCCAGCCCCTAGAAAAGTAATTTGAAATCACTGCACAGCTGCGTTGTTACTTTTCTTTGTTGCTGTGACAGATCTCCTGACGAAAGTGACTCACAGAAGGAAAGGTTTCTTCTGGCTCGCAGTTCTAGGGTCCGTCGTGGTGAAGGCACAGCAGCAGGAGCAAGAGGCAGCTGGTCCAGTCGCAGTCAGGAAGCAGAGACACACATGCTGCTGTTGCTCCAAGCGCTGCCTCCCCAAGTCTGGGGCCCCATCCCACAGAATGGCTCCTCCTACAGAAGGCTGTATCTTCCCTGCTCACTTAACCCAGTCTAGAAACTCCCTCACAGAGATGCCCAGAGGTTTGTGTCCTGGGTGATTCTAGGTCCTGTCAAGTTAACACTCCATATTAACTATCACAGAACCTGTCAGTCAAACATCATCAACACACTGGTGTGATCCTTCTAGTTTTTTGTTGTTGTTGTTGCTTTGTCTTTTTGAGACAGGGTCTCCCTATAGCCCCAGCCGTCCTGGAACTCTCTATGTAGACCAGGCTGGCCTTGAACTCACAGAGATCTGCCTGCCTCTGCCTCCCGGAGTGCTGGGATTAAAGGTGTGCACCACCACACCGGGCTTCCTTATGTATATGTGTACAGGAAACAATTTCCTATATCACATTGTTCCTACTGGTCATTCATGGCACTGTCCCATAAAACACTGGAGTCAGGCAGAAGGAAGAAACCACTGGAGAAGGATGGTAACTCAACCGCCGGAGTGTGATGGGAGACCAGCACTCCTGTGAGCTGGGTCTCCAAGGGTGCAGGGGTCTGCACAGAGCAGAGGGCACTGGAGAAGGATGGTAACTCAACCGCCGGAGTGTGATGGGAGACCAACACTCCTGTGAGCTGGGTCTCCAAGGGTGCAGGGGTCTGCACAGAGCAGAGGATGCTCCTCGTGGGGAGGCAGTGTTGTCAGAACAGCAGTGCAGAACTGGGGTGCAGCCTGGGCCGTGGGTGTGGATTTGGGGAAGGCCAGCAGTGGGATCCGTGGCCCCTGTGAGAAGTGGTGTTGGTTCCTCGCCTCCACCACCAAAATGATAACCAGATCTGATGAAAGTTAAATGCACCCTCATCG